CCCCCTATGTCCCTGTGTGACTCCCCCTATCACCCTGTGTGACTCCCCCTATCTCCCTGTGGGAGTCACTTCAAGGACCCTGAAGCGAACAAGAAGGATTGTAGCTGACCCCTCTCATTGTGGACACAAACTGTCCATCTGGTAGGAGGCTGAGGTCCATCAGGACCAAGACCTCCATCAGGACCAAGACCTCAGGCCACATCAACAGTTTCTTCAGTCTTCAGTTGGGCTCATCAACAAAGACCAGGACCCCCTCTGACTCTGACATCCACAGGATTATTTCTTCTTTCCCTATTAATATACACTTGACACTTTAATAATATACTTGTTTCATAAACTCTTATTTGTTTGTTTATTCACCATATTTCTATATTTTCTTGTAACTTTCAACATGTTTCTATTTTTAAATCATGTCTTGTATTTTGCAGTGTGTTGATTGTTTAACATTATGAACCTTCCACCAGGTAAATATCCTTGTATGTGCAACATACTAATATATAAATGAACGGTTCTGGTTCTGATTCTGATCCAGCTGCTGCTCCTTTGAGGACTACAAACTGACCACTGAGTGGCTCCTGAACCACACCAGTCACCGTCCTAAGGTGGCAGTGATCTGTGGATCAGGACTCGGTCTGCTAGCTGACGGGGCCGCTAACAAAGAGACCTTCAGGTACCAGGACATCCCCAACTTCCCCCTCAGCACAGGTGAGTAGGCCCCGCCCACTGCATGCTGAAGGGGTGGGGCTTCAGCTTGTCTTTCCTCCTTCCTTTACTTCTTCTTCTTTCTGTGGCATCATTGGTTCTTATTCAATATATAATAATAATATACAGTATATATATCTTGCTTTTAATTGTCTCTCTTTGTCTCTGTCTCTGTCTGTCCATCTGTCTCTCTGTCCGTCTGTCGCTCTGTCTGTCTGTCTCTCTGTCTCCCCCTCAGTGGCGGGTCATGAAGGCTGTCTGGTGTTTGGGACGATTGAGGACACTTCCTGTGTCTTCATGCAGGGTCACTTCCACCTGTACGAAGGTTATTCTCTCTGTCAGGTGAGTCCTCGTCGTGTCTTCCGGTGTCCTCTTTTCTCTTTGACCGTTAACAGACACAACCAGTGAACAGGAAGTGACCATATCTGGACTGGGGAGGAGTGACGTAGAGACACCGTATACGTCTCTGGTGTCGACCTGTCAATCACCGTGTAGCCCCGCCCTAAAGCATCCCCTGCTTTATGGTCTGTTTGACTCTAAATGGACCATAATGTACTAAATGAACATCATGCTGTATTGAAGAAGACTTGAAACTAGAGATTGAGACCATGAACTCATGTTTACAATGTTTACTGAGGTAATAAATCAAGAGAGAAGTAGAGTCATTTTCTCATAGACTTCTATACAACCAGAGGAGTCGCCCCCTGGTGGACACTAGAGAGAATGCAGCTTTAACACATGAAGCTTTGGCTTCACTTTAAAGAACTGGAAGTTGTCGTTCACCAGTCCGTCTACCTGTCTGTCTCTCTACCTGTCTCAGGTGACGTTCCCAGTGAGGATCTTTAAGCTCATGGGGGTGGAGTCTGTGCTGGTGACGAACGCCTCCGGAGGAATCTGTCCGGACTTCAAAGTCGGCGACATCATGATCATCAAAGACCACATCAACCTGCCGGGGTTCGCCGGACAACATCCGCTATGTGGACCCAACGACGAGCGGTGAGACCTGGAGGACAGACAGGACTGTCTGTCTCTTCTTGTCTATCTCTTCCTATCTGTCTCTTCCTGTCTGTGTCTTCAGGGACAAAAGAGACAGACAGCAAGCGACAGACAGGATAATCTCACGTCATGACTTCCTGTCTGTCTCTTCCTGTCTCACTGCATGACTTCCTGTCTGTGTTCTTTAGTTTTGGGATCCGGTTCCCCTGTATGTCCGATGCGTACTCGAAGGATCTCAGGCGACTCACGCTGGACGTGGTCAATGAGCTCGGCTGCAGCGACTTCGTCAGAGAGGGAGTTTACTGCATGGTGAGCGGACCCAACTTTGAAACCATCGCCGAGGCCAGAATGCTGCTGATCCTGGGCTGCGACTCTGTGGGTAAGACAGGAAGAGAGACAGACAGGCTGTCTTCAATTATTGGCCTCCCTTAGTGAGCTTGTTAACAATGAATGAGTCTTAACAAGCTCGTTAGTGAGTCGTCGGCAGGGAGAGCAGTGATTGGCTCTCAGCGTGAAGATCGGTGTAGCGTTGATCGGACCAGAGATCAGATCCAGAGAGTATTCACCTTAGTGTTTATTCTTTGATAAACAGTGACAGCAGCGCAGCAGGGGCTTCTGGGAGTTGTAGTGTAGAAACCTGAAGGGTCTCATTCGGTCTCCTGGTTGTAAAAGGTCTTCAGTTTACCGTCTACGTTTAGGAACGTGGGTCAGCGAGCACTTTCTAGGGGTCCTGTAACTTGTTCTGAAGGTTCTGGAGAAGTTTCAGTGGGTCCTTCAGGAAGTTCCAGAGGTTCTTAATAAGGTTCTAGAGATCCGTGAGGAGGTTCTAGGAATTTTTGTAAGAGCCAAATAGGGCATCTACATGTGCCTTTCTTCAGACGTTTCTAGGGGCCCTGGAAAAGGTTCTGCAGTTCCTTGAGAAAGATGTAGAATTGTTATGGGTTCTAGATTAAATTATACGGTTTCTGGAGTAGGTTCTATCCGTCTTTTAGCAGCGTCAATGATCCTTGAGGAGTTTCTGGGGCCTCTGGAGGAGGTTCTGGAGTTCCTTAACAGAGATCCATGGTTTATGCAACACTAGGCAAACGTGAAGAGCAGGCTTGGGTCGTGGGAAGTTTCTACGGGTCCTTTAGGAGTTTCTAAGGTACCTTGAGATAGGGTACATTGGGTACATTGTGGAGGAGGATTTCAATCGCCCCAAGTTCTCCCACACAACTTCCCTTCTCCGTTCTCTACACTGGCTCCCTGTAAGAGCTCGCATCCAGTGTAAGACTCTGGTGCTAGCCTACAGGGCAGTGAAAGGAACAGCTCCTTCCTATCTCCAGGCCACGGTCAAGCCCTACACCCCCACCCGACCACTTCGCTCTGCTGCCTCGCTAGTTTGTTGCACTTATTGTATTGATATTAGTTTGCTGCACTTATTGTATTCATTTGTTTCTGTACGTTTGCTCTGGTTTATGCTCTTAGATGCTTGTTTAAAGGAGATGCACTTATGACTTCTAGAGACTAGCAGTTCTCTTGAATATGTTGAATACACTTATTCTAAGTCGCTTTGGATGAAAGCGTCTGCTAAATGACTGTAATATAATGTAATGTAATGAGGATCTATATGCTCTTTAGAAGAGTCTAATCTGAAGGAATATCTAGGGAAATCATTTATGGTTCCTTGAGGAGTATCTAGAAGGGATTAAGAAGGTTCTATGGTTCCTTTAAAAGGGTCTGTTTGTCCTTGAGAAGTCCAGCTAGGTTCAGAAGGAGATTTGAAAAGAAGTTAGGGTTTCTATAGAAGGTTCTATAATACCAGTCAAGCATCCTTGGGAGTAGCTAGTGGATAGTAAAATCTCATGTCCTTTGTTTCAGCAGGAACCAGGATATCAACAGGTTCTCATTAAATATGTTGGCTAGTTAAATATTAACGAGACAGAGCGAAACCCTGCAGCTCAACAAACAAGCACGATGGTTAATGAAGTCACATGACACTCGTCTCCTGGTGTGTTTACACTGACTGTTAATATACTGTACCAGCAGAGCTCTGTTCTCACCTGCTGGAACCAGTTTACATACCTGCTTTGATCAGGTGGTAAATATTGAGGTAGAACCAGATAAATCTTTATCAACGTGGCTTCAGGAATTGAACATTCTTTCTGTTAAACTGCCAGATCTGTTTGCTCAGAAAAGTTCAACAAATTGCAATAAAGGTGAAGGTTTTAAACCTTGATATGTGACACTCTCTCCTTCTCCTCAGGTATGAGTACAGTCCCTGAAGTGACGGTGGCAAAGCACTGTGGACTCAGAGTTCTTGGTCTGTCCCTCATCACCAACATGGTCAGTTATTGAAAATGATTACTGATGGATGTACAGTGGCAGTGTGACAGCGTTGACAAACCTTTTTTTGGTGCTGCAGGTGTCTCTGGACTACAGTCGGGAGGAGAAGGTGAACCACGAGGAGGTTCTTCAGATCAGTAAAATGAGGGCCGAGGTTCTGCAGAAACTGGTCACCATGTTGATCTCCCGCTGCCAGCAGCAGAGCATCAACACCCACTGACACAAAAACACTGACACGTGAACACAGACACAACAACTCAGACACAACAACATCAACACAGACACAACAATACAGACACAACAACACCGACACAACAACATCAACACAACAACACAGACACAACAACACCGACACCGACACATCAACACAGACACAACAACACCGACACGTCAACACAGACACAACAACACAGACACAACAACAAGGACACGTCAACAACAACACCCTCTGACAGACCAGCAGAACAACATCTACAACAAGGTGTAATATCTGACTGTACTTGTTCTGTTGTGTTAAACTGAAGTGAGATTTTAACCTCTGTGTTGTAACTTCATACTGCCGTTGTGTTTCAGCGTTAACTTTACAATAAAAATGTATTTTTAAAAACTGAAGACCCTGATTAAACAAAAACTGAGAGATTGAACGCTTCTTTTTTTTAAGCCCTCCACTTTATCTTGGATAAATATAGAAACCATTAACAAAGTGTTTATAACGCAGTATGAGACGGTTTCATGTAGACTGTGGACTCTGCAGAACTCCATTGCTCCTCCATCATGGAGTTATCAGACAGAGGGAAACTGCACTGCAGTGACCTCATTCTGTTGAGGACTGACGCCCCGCCCACTCAAAACTAAACCCCGCCTCTAAAAGGCCACGCCCCTCCCCCTCAGGTAAGTGTGATATGTGAACTGTTGTCTCTCTTGTGTTCTGATGACACGTGTTGACGCGCTCACATAAAGAGTTCACAATCATGAACCAGAGTCCAGGGTTTGTTTTCTGGGCTTC